TAATTATATTTAGAAATCCTAATTAAGAGTATATGTATTTTAAAAAGAACTAGACTATATTTTATATAAATATAATCTTTATATATAATATTAAAATAACTTGTTTATTCAGCTAGTCTATTATAATAAATATAATATTAAAATTATAATAGTTCTTTAAAAATATTTAAAAGTTTATTAATAGATACTATCCTGAATAGTCTAGGATTAGTAAAGATTATAAAAATTTTATAAAAAAATCCTATCTTATATTTTTTTATTTATAGATTAAATAGTTATTTAGATAATAGTATATATTTTAATTCTAAATATTTTAGTAATATTAGTATTTTATAAAACCTAGTATCTTTATTTAGCTTGGATAAGCGAATAATAATTAATAATAAATTTTATTTAGTAATTAAGTATGTAGGTCTCTATTATTTAAAATAATTAATAAATTATTAAAAAATATAAATTTATTTTTTAATATATATCCTCTTTTATTTTAATAGATTTATTTCTAGTAAGGCTCTAGGGAGATATAATCCTAGTTAACTACTAAAAAATAGTTTATAATTTATAAGTATTTCTCTATAGAGGTAAGAACTATTAATAATTTAAAAATTAATAAAAAAAATATATTTTATTCTCTAAATATTTTAGAAATAATAGAATTTATTTATAATATTATATTTAAACTCACTTACTAATATTTTTATAAATTAATATATTTATTAAAATATTATACTTCCCGGGATAAAATTAGATTAAAAAATAATATTAAAAAAAATTCAGCCTACTACATTTAATAAATATTTAATCTTTTAGTAGTTATAAAATACTCTAAAACTTAATAATTTATTAAAATATTAAAATAATTTATATATTAAAGTTTTTTTAGCTTTAGTTATTATTTTTCTAAGATATAAATAATTACTAGTAACTCTTTATCATGAATATTATAATTATATTCTATAAAAAATATAGTCTTAGAATAATAATTTACTAAATATTAAATTTTATCTATTAATTATAAAAATATTTTTATAATAATTTTATTAATAGTATCCGTCTCAATATAGATAGAAAATATAGGATTATAATAAATAAAAATAAAAATTAAAATTAATATTTTTTTAAGTATTTTGAAGATTTTGATATAGATATAATCTTAATTAAAAATAATATTTTTCTAGATTAGTTATGTTAGAGGTTATACTATTTTATTATAAATTTTAATAAATTTTTAATAAAAATTATAAAAGTTTAAAAATAATTAAATTCTTTATATAATTATTAAAATTACCTACTCAGTAATAATAGTAATTTTTATTAAATCTATTTAAATACTATTAATAGTAATAATAAACTTAAGGAATTTAGTCTTTATAATATAGAACTTATATTTATAAATAATAATTTATAAGCCCGCGGCTTATTATTTTTTAAGTATTAAATATATATATAATTCATATTTAACCATATTATTATTATAAATTAATATATTATTAATATAAACTATAATAAACTTATCTAAATACTTTATTAAAATTTTATTAATAAGTTATTGGAAAGTAGCAGGTCTGTTAATAAATTTAAATAAAAAAATTTAATATTTAAATAAATTATATTATATTTTAAAGATTGTAAGATCTTCTAAAGTTAAATTTATTTTAATTTAATAAAAATTTTAATATATATTAAATTTAATAAAGATTCTTACATTACATAGGTAGTCTATTATTTTATTAATAAGAAATAGAAAATATAGGTCTTTCTTAATTAAAATATTTAATTTTTAATAATTTATATAAAAATAGAGATTTCCTCTAGGCTTTCAAGTTATTAGGCTAAAAAATATAAAAAATATAAAATTTAATATAATAAATTCTTTAACTAGATTTTTTATAATATAATTATAAGAGACCTATAGTTCTTTTATTATTATCTTATAAAAAAAATAATATCTAGAGGATTCTTACTTTCTAATTAAATCTTATAATTATAATACTAGAATAAAAATAATATATTAGATTTTTTTAGAAAAGATATTTATTAAATTATAGTACTACTTAGAAAGGATTTTCTTAATTTTATTTTTTTAATTTATATATAAAATCTCTAGTTTCTCTACAAAAAGTTTCTTAATAATATTAAGTAAGGTAATAAAAGTCTCTATCTCTAAGTTCTTTAGATATTATTAGAAGCTAGTTATTTTAATAAAAGTTATCTTTCTATAGAAAAATTTAATTAAAATAAATTTTAATTTAGGTTTTAGAATTCTAGAAAAAAATAATATTAATAATTTTTTTTATTTAAATTATATTTTAGTTTTACTAAGATCTCGCACGGGCTGTTTTAATTAATATAAAAAAAATTAATAATAATTATAAAAATTTTAATTATTTATTTTTTAGTTATATCTTATAATCTTTCTAAGTTATATTTTATTAATATTTATAATCTACTAGAGACTACTCTAAAATAATTTAAAAAATATTTATAAAAAATCTAGCTTTTATTTTATTCTTTAATATTAATTAATTTAGCTAGATTAATTAGCAATTTTAATAATCTAATAAAATATTATATTTAGTAAATTATATTTTTTTAAAAATAGTATTATATCTTTCCAGATCTAGTATAAAGAAAAAGATATTTAAAAATTAATAATTATTAATTATAAGATTTAATTAGATTATATGTGTTAAATTAATAGTCTATTTTCTATTAAAATTTATAATTAGAATTTTTTTTTAAAAATAATATTAGAATTTTAAAATATTAAATTAATTTAATAATAAATTAATTATTTATTATTAAGTAGGTATTAGCTCCAGAATTAATAAGTATATAAATAAAAATAATAATATTATCTTTAAAGAATAAAGTAATAACTATAAAACTATTACTATTATTTTTTAGTAAGTCTTATAAATTTATTATATTTATTTAAATTTCTAGTTTACTCAGAATAGAGATTTTTTCTAAATATTATTTTTTATTAATTTAAATTTTTTTATAGGGATTTCCAGAGTTTTTACCTATATAATCTTTTTTTTAGAATATTCTCTATTTCTATAGTTAGACTTTTTATAATAAAAATATTTTTTATTTTTTATTAAAGTTTTCTTAGTCTCCGGCTCCATGTTTAAAGTATAAATTAAAATCTTAAAAATAATATTTTTAAAGTTTAGAATATTAAAGAAAATATAAAGATTATAAGATCTATTATGACTACTAGTAATAATAATATTATTTCTAATATAATTTTTTATTAAATTTTTAATTAAATTTATAAAATTCACACATTCCTCTACATAATTATTAAAGAAGTAATGTTTATTGTTAAAATTATATATAATAAATTTCTTTAACTTAAAAAATAATTTATTATATAAATCTTTTTTTTAAAAATTTTTACTAATTCCAGCTTCCACCGCGAGGTAATAAAAAATAAAAATAAAAATATAAAATTTTTTTTAATTTTTATATATAGGTCCCGGTACTGGTAGCAAATATTATAGATTTTATAAAAATTAATAAAAATAGTTTCTAGATATTCTAATATATTTTTAATATTATTATAAAGATTAGTCATACTTAAATAGAATCTAAGTATTAAGTATTTTCCTATATTATTTTTATAATAGCTAGTAATATAAGCTTTATATACTACTAAAGTAATAAACTAATTAATATTAGTTTTTAGTTTTTAATATATAGCCAGTATTTAGTTTTTAAAGAAGATATTTTTTCTATTATTAAATAAAGATAGATTAGGAATCTTTATCGCTTTTTTAAATTTAAAAATAATTATACTTTAAGAATTAATTAAAATCTAATAGATAGTCTGCACTGTAAAAATATCTTATTTTTTAATAATATTATCTAATTTTTTAATAATATTATCCCATTCTTAAGTAAAAGTAGTTATTTTTTAGCTCTGTTAGTCTTGTTTATTAAGAAGATTATTTCTTTTGATCTTTAAAATATTAAATATATTTAGAAGAATTTTAAAAGTCTATTTCAGATCTCTTTTATATCAATTATTAAATTTAATTAAATCTATTTTCCCAGTCTGGTTTATTAGGTAATATTATAGAAAGTTATTAATTATTTTTAAAACCAGGAATCTAGCTACTTTCTCTAGCTATTTTATTTATTTTATTAGTTGTTTGGTTGGTTGGATAGATTTTTTAGCTATTAAGTGTTGCTAAGAACGCGGGATAAAGATTATTAATAACTTAGTAAGAGCTAGCTGTGTATAATAATAGAAAAAAATAAAAAATAATATTTAAAATTATGAGATGGCTGTTTAATATAATAAAATAAGGTTGTATTAGTGCTAATTATTCTGGAACTTTAAATATAAAAAAAAAAGAAAAATGAGAGGTATTATGGATGCTCACTTAAAAAAAATAATAATAAAGTAAATAAAATAAATATGGTCACATGATCCTAAATAAGGCTGCCGTTATATAGGGTGTTTTAGCACATGGAAGTCTAGATAAAGAAAATATATAAAAGAAATAGTAAGTTTTAAAAAATTATAAATAAAATAATAATAAAAATTATTAAATTCTAAAAAAACTTATACATTTATTACATAGACTAGAATAGATTATTTAATAATAATCTTAATTTTTTTTAGATTTATATGAAATCTATTACAGTCTATAATTAAATCTAGAAATTTAGTCTTAAGAATAATAAATTTATATTTTAATATTTTAATAAAAATTCTAGTTCTATATAGTTTTATAAAAGTTAATTAAATATACTCTATATATTTTATTTAAATATAGTTATAAATTAAAATATTATCTAAGTATATTATACAGAAAATATCTAGATAATCTTAAAGTATATTATTAATATAGTGTTAGAAGGTGGCTAGAACTTTTATTAATTTAAAAAATATTATTAATAATTTATATAGGCTGAAGTAAGTATAAAATACTATTAACTATTTTTATTCTTTAATAATTTAAATATTATTAAAAGTATTAATAATATTAATTTTGATAAAATAATATATTTTTTTTTAGATTATTTAAAGTTTTTTTTACAAGTGGGAATAAATAGTAGTTTTTAATAAAAATTATATTTAGAATATAATAATTTATATAAAATCTAAGCCTTCTTCTAGGCTTTCTAATAAATAGAACTAGTAAAATAGCGGGTAATAAACTTAAATAAATAAAACTTTTTTTTAAATTTTTAAGTAATTATTTATAGAAGATTTATAGTTTATTCCAGAACATACTATATAAAGAACTAAATAAAAAAATCTTTTTTTTTCTAGAATGATAATATAATTATAATTATAGTAGGAGAGAAGCTTCTCTATTTCCTTAAATAAAAAAATATCTATAAAATCTTTAAACTTATTTAATAGTATAAATTCTTTAGTACTAAAAGCAGGTTGTAAAATAATATTAATTTAATTTATAATAATAATATATATTAGATAGTTTTAGCACGCGTAAGCCGCGCAGACTATAATAAAAATTAATTATATATTTTAATTCTTTAAAGACAGAAAAAACATAATATATATTAAATAAATATATTATAATACCAGTAATAATATAAACTAATAAATTAAATAATATATTTAATAAAATTTATTTAAAGATTATAAATCTTTAACTAAAATAAGCTAAGTATAATTAAAAAATAGACTAGCTAGATAATTAGAAATAAAATATCTTTTTTTATATAATTATAAATCTTTAAAATTATATAAATATAATAAATAATCATTTTAGCCGCACTTTTTTAATTGAGACGGCCGTTCAACACAATAAAATGAGGTCGTATTGGTGCTAACTACTCTAGAACTTTAAGTGTAAGGAGGAAAAAAGGAAAACAAAAGATATTATAAATACTTACTTAAAAAAATAATAGTAAAGTAAATAAAATAAATATAGTTATATAATCTTAAATAAGGCCTTGAACGAGGCTACTGTTATATTATCTTTTTATTTAGATCTAACTATTCTTAGTTAGGGGAATATTATTATTATTATAATTTATAATAAATTTATTATTTTCCGCGGCCGTGATCTATATGGAGAGTTATTTAGGTAATCTAGGATAATCTAGATAATAGATATAAAAATTATATAAATAAAAAAATAAAATTTTTAAAATTACTAGTAGAATACTACTTATAATTATTTTTATTAGAATCTATCTATTTAATATAGTATTGCAGAGTTCCTGTCTATAAATAATTTTTTAAGATTTATTTTATTTCTTACTTAATATAATTTTTAACTTTAATTAAAAAAATTTAATTTAAGATCTATCCAGGCAGCAGCTCTAAAATACTATAAAAATAGAGTTTATTAAAATAAAAGATAGAATAGACTTTTATATTATTAAGTAATTAAATTTAGAATATATAATTAATTTTTTTAGTAATAATTACTAGATTATACTAGTTTTTTAATAATTTTTAAAATAGTTATTTCTAGTACTAGTTTTTAATATCTATATAAATCTTATTTTTAATATTAAAATTTATAAATTAATACTATCAGTTAGCTACATAAGTCTAAATTTATTAAATAATTTATATATCTCTCTTTATTAGCTTCTATATTTATTTTATATAGTAGATTAGGGCTCGGGCTTGCTACTAATTAATAATATTTATAATAGAAGTCTAGAAAAGTATCTAATTAAAAAAAATATAAAACTTATATTTTTATTTAATTATAAAGAATAATAATCCCGTAGATTCCTAGGATAAGACTGTAAAAGTAAAATTAATTAATAATAAAAATATTAATTAATTATTTTAATAATAATTTATAAAAGAAATAAGTTTTTACACTATGTACTAGTTCATGATTTTAATCTATTTATTAATTTAAAAATAATATATTATTAAAAGCTTAAACTTTATCTATAATATATAATATAATTTATTCTAGAATTTTAATATGAATTATTTTTTTTAATTTAATATAATTATATTTAGGGGTCCTGACTAAAGGTATATATATTTTAGAAAGAGTTAGACTATATTTTATATAAATATAGTCTTTATATATAATATTAAGGTAACTTATTTATTTAATTAGTCTACTATAATAAATATAATATTAAAACTATAATAATTTTTTAAAAATATTTAAAAATTTATTAATAGATATTATTCCAAGCAGTCCGGGATTAGTAAAGATTATAGAAATTTTAGAAGAAAATCCTATCTTATATTTTTCTACTTATAGATTAAATAGTTATTTAAATAATAATATATATCTTAGTTTTAAATATTCTAATAATATTAATATTTTATAAGGTTTAGCATCTTTATTCAGCCTGGATAAATAAATAATAGTTAATAATAGATTTTATCTAGTAATTAAATTTGTAAATTCTTATTATTTAAAACTATTAATAAATTATTAAAAAATAGAAATTTATTTTTTAAAATATATCCTTCTTTATTATAATAGACTCTTTTCTGGTAAAGCTCTAGGAAGAAATAATTTTAATTAATTATTAGAAATTAATCTATAATTTATAAATATTCTTATATAAGAGTGAGAACTATTAGTAATTTGAAAATTAATAAATAAAAATATATTTTATTCTCTAAGTATTCTAGAAATAATAAGATTTATTTATAATATTATATCAGGACTTACTTACTACTATTTTTATAAATTAATATATTTATTAAAGTATTATACTTTTTAAGATAGAATTAGATTAAAAAGTAATATTAAAAGAAGAACTCAACCTACTATACTTAATAAATATTTAATTTTTTAATAATCATGAAATACTTTAAGATTTAATAATTAATTAGAATATTAAAATAATTTATATATTAAAGTTTTTTTAGCTCCAGTCACTATTCCTCTAAGGTATAAATAATTATTAGTAATTTTTTATTATAAATATCATAATTATATTCTATAGAAAATATAATCTTAAAATAATAGATTACTAGATACTAGATTCTATTTACTAATTATAAGAGTATTTTTATAATAATTCTATTAATAATATCTATTTTAACATAAATAGAGAGCATGGAATCATAATAAACTAAAATAAAAATTAAGAATAATATTTTTTTAAATATTTTAAAAGCTTTAGTATAGGTATGATCCTAATTAAAAATAATATTTTTTTAAATCAGTTATATTAGGGGCTAGACTATTCTATTATAAATTTTAATAAATTTTTAATAAAAGTTATAAAAACTTAAAAATAATTAAATTTTTTATATAATTATCGGGGTCGCTTACCTAATAATAATAATAATCTTTAATAAATCTATCTAGATACTATTAATAGTAATAATAAATTTTAAAAATTTAGTTTTTATAATATGGAACTTATACTTGTGAATAATAATTTATAAATCTATAATTTATAATTTTTTAAGTATTAAATATATATATAATTTATACTTAATTATATTATTACTGTAAATTAACATATCATTAATATAAATTATAATAAATTTATTTAAATATTTTATTAAAACTTTATTAATAAGTTATTGGAAGGTAGCGGGTCTATTAATAAATTTAAATAAAAAAATTTAATACTTAAATAGACTATATTATATTTTAAAAATTATAAGATTTTCTAAAGCTAGATTTATTCTAATCTAATAAAAACTTTAATATATATTAAATTTAATAAAAATTTTTATATTACGCAGGCAGTCCATTATTTTATTAATAAAAAATAAAAAATATAGGTCCTTCTTAATTAAAGTATTTAATTTTTAATAGTTTATATAGAAACGGAGGCCTCCTCTAGACTTTTAGATTATTAGAATAAAAGATATAAAAAATATAAAACTTAGTATAATAAATCCTTTAATTAAATTTTCTATAATATAATTATGGAAGGTTTAAAATTTTTCTATTATTATTTTATAAAAAAAATAGTATTTAAAGGATTCTTATATTCTAATTAAATCTTATAGTTATAGTACTAGGATGGGGATAGTATATTAAATTCTTTTTTAAAAAAAATATCTATTAGATTATAGTATTACTTAGAAAGAATTTTCTTAATCTTATCTTTTTCATTTATATGTGAAACTTTTAATTTTTTTATAAAATTTTTTTAATAGTATTAAATAAGGTAATAAAAGTCTCTATCTCTAAGTTTTTTAAATATTATTAAAAACTGGCCGCTCTAATAAAAGCTATTTCTTTATAAGAAAGTTTGATTGGGGTAAGCTTTAGTTTAAATTTTAAAATTCTAAAAGAAAAGTAGTACTAGTAGTTTTTTTTATTTAGATTATATTCTATTTTTATTAGGATTTTATATAAGCTACTTTAATTAGTATAGAAGAGGATTAGTAATAATTATAAAAAATTTTAATTATTTATTTTTTAATTATATTTTATAATTTTTTTAAATTATATTTTATTAATATTTATAATTTACCAAAGACTGCTCCAGAATAATCTAGAAAATATTTATAAAAAGTCTAATTTTTATTTTATTTTTTAATATTAATTAATTTAATTAGATTAATCAACAATTCTAGCAATCTAGTAAGATATTATATTTAATAAATTATATTTTTTTAAGAATAGTATTATGCTTTTCTAGATCTAGTATAAAAAAGAAAATATTCAGGAATTAGTAAATATTAATTATAAGATTTAATTAAATTATATATATTAGATTAATAGTCTATTTTCTATTAAAACTTATGACTAGGGTTGTCTTTTTTAAAGATAATATTAGAATTTTAAAATATTAAGTTAATTTAATAGTAAATTAAATATTTATTATTAAATAAGTATTAGCTCCGGAATTAATAAGTATATAAATAAAAATAGTAATACTATCTTTAAAAAATAAAATAGTAATTGTAAAATTATTATTATTATTTTCTAATAAATTTTATAAAATTATTATATTTATTTAAGCTTTTAATTTATCTAGAATAGAGATTTTTTTTAAGTATTATTTTTTACTGATTTAGATTTCTCTATAAAGATTTCTAAAATTTTTATCTATATAATTTTTTTTTAAAATATTTTTTATTCCTATAGCTAGGCTTCTTATAGTAGAAATATTTTCTATCTTTTATTAGGATTTTTTTAATCTCCGACTCTATACTTAAAGTATAAATTAAAATCTTAGAAATAATATTCTCAGAGTTTAAAATACTAAAGAGAGTATAAGAATTATAAGATTTACTATAATTATTAATAGTAATAGTATTACT